CTTGAATTCCTGATCCTCTTGCTTCTACCTTCTATGTGCTGGGATGACGGGCATTTTCTACAACAGCTGATTATCCTTTCACTTTTTTATTGAGGTGAAACTCACATAACATAAAACCAGCCATGCTAAAGTGAACAACTGCCTGGGTCAGGGGAGGTAAAACAAAATAAAAAGGACTCTAGAAGGCCTCCTACTTGCAGATGCTGGGCAAGCCCTGCTTCCATCTTGCTTCTAAATACTTCTTTTACTCCAAGAGGAAGCCGGACTCACTGGGCCATTGCCTGCACTTCTGCCTTCCTATAGGCAGGTCTATAGGGAGACCCACCGTGGATCATTTATGTAAAGGGACTCGAGCAACAGGCGGCTGCAGTGCCTGGCTTCTTCCCCTTAGTTCCAGACTCGGCCAGCTTCACTCCTTTTTAGGGTGGGGCAGAGGTTCCACGGCGTAGACAGCACAACGTGTTTATCCACTTACCAGCTGAAGACAGGGAGACACTGGGCTGTTGGCCTAAGCAACCACTTAATGCTGAGGGAACTGTCACATGACTGCTGAACTATTTTCATTCCCACCAGCAATGCCCAAGAGGTTCATCTACCTTCATTATTAAACAAGGGAAGGCTATGCCCTTGGAGGTCAAAGGGAAGGTCACTAGGTGCTAGAACGCTTGAACGAGGTCAGTGTGACTTCTGCCTCATTCCCTCACCGCACCATAGGCTTGTCAGGCTGTCCCCTAGGCCCCAGAAGATGCTGGCTGGACTAGCAGGGTGGGTTTCTTTCCCTCACTCATCAAGACACAAGGACCAGATGGTCAAGTCTAGAACCCCAAGTCAAGCTTCGTGTGACCCTGCAGGGCCCCACCTGGGCCCCATCAGCTCAAAGTATGCTTTTTTAAGGTCAGATAGAGGTCAGTCTCCTGTTCTTCCTTCCCTGGGCCCTCTTCTCTTACTGGGTCCTTCCTCTCTTTCCCTTTCCCTCCTCCCTCCTACTTCCCTTCCCCCCCTTCTTTCCACCCCTCCTCTGTTCTGCATCCTCACTTCTGGGTCCCCCTCTCCCCCTCCTCACATATTTTCATCTTGCTCACCCCCATTAAACATTAAGGCTTGTTCACCCCCTGCCTCACGGTAATTTCTCTCTTCTCTTCTCTTCTCTTCTCTTCTCTTCTCTTCTCTTCTCTTCTCTTCTCTTCTCTCCTCTCCTCTCCTCTCCTCTCCTCTCCTCTCCTCTCCTCTCCTCTCCTCTCCTCCCCTGTCCTCTCCTCTCCTCTCCTCTCCTCTTCTCTCCTCTCCTCTCCTCTCCTCTCCTCTCCTCCTCTCTCTCTGTCTCTCTGTCTCTGTCTCTCTGTCTCTGTCTCTCTGTCTCTCTCTGTCTCTCTCTGTCTCTGTCTCTGTCTCTGTCTCTGTCTCTCTCTCTCTCTCTCTCTCTTCATGACAGGGTTTCTCTGTATAGTCCTGGATGTCCTGGAACTCACTCTATAGACCAGGCTGGCCTCAAACTCACAGAGATCCACCTGCCTCTGCCTGGGATTAAAGGCCTGTGCCACCACCGCCAGGCTCTTTTTTTTTTTTTCCCCTTTTTCTTTTTAATTGGCAAGGACTTATTGTGTATTCCAGGCTGCCCCTCAAACTAATTGCTTAGTTCAAGCTTGCCTTAAACTCTTGGTCCATCTTCCTCCGCCTCTTGAGTAGCTGAGATTACAAATTTACACCACCTTATGTCTACCTCAAGGTAACTGAGGGACAGAGTGAGGGCAGAGAGTTACGTGTGTGTATGGACTGCAGCCATAAGACACCCTTCCCCAGACCCCGGGGTGCCCCCCTGAGAAGGGTGAGGTGCTGGGAGACACTTTTTTTTTTGCTTGTAGGAATGAACACCAGCATCAGGAATCAGGGACCTGGCACACAGCAGGGTTTCAGGGGATTCACTTCTCAGTGGGGAGGGTTAGAGTTTAGGGAGGCAGGAACGGGCTAGGACACTCCTCACGTGGGCCAGGCCTTGCTAGGACTTGCCTCTGTGGGCAAAGCCCTAGGCTGGGAGGGCCAGGAGGCAGTCAGCACCCATTTAGCTCTGCAAGTGTGTTTCTGGACCTGCAGCCGCCCCACGTCTTGGGAACTTGCTAGAAATGCACATCCCCTCAATGTATTGCTTCTGAAACTTGGGGGGCAGCACCTCTCCTGCAGCAAGTGCACCCAAGGGCTCTGTTTCTCCATTCAGTTTGCAGGGATCTCCTTTAATGAGGGAGACGCAGCATCCAGAGCTTAGATTCCTTGCTATGGATCCGGGAAGCTAGAGCCTGGAGCTCTGAGGATGCTGCCCACTCCACCGTGGGGGCTGGGAGGTTGAGTGGCGAGGAGAGGGTCTGGGAAGGGGGCCCAGCCTCGGAGAGCCCCCTCCGCCTTCTCTCCCCATTCTTCGGAAAGCAGTTTGATGTGCTAATGAAGGCATCAATTATTGAGCACCATTTGCATTCGTTACAATAACAAGCGAGGGAGGGGGACCTGAGGGAATCAGGAGAGTCTTTTGAAATTTACAGCCACTCACTGCTCTCCTGTGGAGTGGGAGTGAGGATGAAGAGGGAGGAACGTGAGAAGAGAGGTGTGCAGGGTTTAGGGTCCCAGATGTTAGCCTTCCTCCTCCTCTGCTGCCTCATCTTCCACGTCCATGCACGGTCACTGCTGTGGGCTTTCTGCTTAGCTCTATGGGGCTCATGAAATGCCCTGGTCAGGCAAACGGAGGCGGGGCATTCTTAGGGAACCTCAAGCAGATGCTTCGAGGTGCAGAATGGGTAGTTCGGGAGTCAGCCTTGATTTTCTCATCACCCGCTCTTACTATGCTAATCCAAGCCTACTGCTACAGTGTCTTAGGGAAGAGGGGGAAAGGGTGAGAACTTCCCACTCCGGGATGCTCCTGACTCTCCTTTCCATGGCTCTCAGAGTGGGCCAGGGCTCTGGAGTATTTGGGAAGGACAGGGGGAGTGGTAAAGTTCTGTTTTTTCCCCCCAATCCCTAAACATGCCAGCTCTTGGCTAAGAAGGAGCACTGCCAGGAGCCACAGGGGAGGAGGACCAGGGAAAGTTATGTTGAGGAATGAGAGGAGGCGGGGCAGCACCTGAGGCATCTCAGGTGGAGGCAGCTGGCACGGGATCTTGCTGGGCACCATGCCAGCATATAGAAGCCGTCCTTGCTTGCTTCTGTTGGGTTAGGAACGCCCAGGCTGTTCAGGTCCTTATCATTCTCTTCCTTGCAGTTAAGTTCTCTTCCAGAGGCCTTGCTGGAGGGGCCATCCTTGAAGGGTGATGGTCAGGTCATTGTTTGGGACCTTGATGCATTTGTTTCTGTTCAGACTCTCTGTTTATTATCATGCTCCCATGAGGCCCTGGGGATGGCCGCCCTGGTGTATGTGTATGTATATATAGGGTCTTTGGGGGAGTAGAGGGCGTGTGTGTGTCAAATGAGTTCTTAGCTCTGAGATGGTCAGAGATGTGGAGGATTCATCATCAGGATGTGACCTAGGAACAGAGCATATGCCCAGAATGTGTGGGCTCTGGGTTCAATTCCAGCATGGGGAAAAAATAAAAAAATTAAATCAACAACAAAAGTAAGCTACACAAGCTGTACCTAGTGTCCAGCATCTGTGATCCCAGCACTAGGGAAACTGAGGCAAGAGGCTTGTAGGTTGAAGGCCAGCCTGAACTATACAGCAAGGTTGTTTAGAAGACAATTAACACACACACACACAAATAACAAAAGATAGCCACACAAATGAAAGACACTGGAACCTGGTGATTCCGCCTTGCCGTGGAAGGCTTCCTCCAGAGCCATCTTTGGAGCTGTCTACAATTCCTAGGTTTGACTACCTTTCCTTATCCAGTCTTGATCCGTGGAGTCAAGTGTTAAGTGCGGGAAAGAAACCATGAAATAGGAGAGAACAGGAGAAACATCTTTCCAATTGTCCCCTTGGTGAGAAGGCCCAGGTCCGTGGGAACTGAGAGAAGCCTTGTCCTAACTCCCTGCTTTACCGTCCCCCTGATGTCTGCTAAGGCTGCAGGGGTATGAGACTTGGAGAGCCAGGGCTGGGCTCTGCTTCTGTAGCTACAGGCAAGACGACAGTGGAAACAGCAAAGGGGCCGGGAGTCCTAGAGTCAGGACAACTACCGCTCAGGCTCTTGGATTGCGCACTGGCCTATACTTCTCGGGGCCTTCCTTCCTTTATTCCTCTCTATTTTGTTTTTCTTGGGCAAGGTCCCATCATGTATCCTTGACTAGTCTAGAACTCACTTAAGAAGACTGGACTGGCCTAGAATGTGTGTTAATCTCCTGCCTTTACCTCTCAAACCTAGGATGACAGGTTTGCACCTTCACTTCTGAGGAGTGGCTAATATGGCAGGATTAAGTTAGAGACTATAGGCAAAGTACCCACTGATGTCCTTCCCCTTGGATGGGCACAGAATAGGGACAGGAAGACTTTTTGTCTACCCTCCAGGAGGGGGCTCTGGGTTGGGAAGACCCCAGAGGCAGAGGGGTCTTATGGAGCAGTGTAAAGGTCTGAAGGGAGGAGAGGTGTGTGCCAGGCTCAAGGCTTAATGGCTATGACCCCTCCCATGCACAGGGCCCGGTGCCTTCTGGTGCCCATCTTGGGAAGGCAGCCAGGCAGGGAGCTGGAAGGGTGCCCAGTGAGTGCCCAGAGGCCAAAAGATGGGCACCATCCATTTGGCAGAGGGAAAAGCAGCTGGCCCAGGAGAGAAGTCATGGTCTTAACTGCTGGGGTTGTGTGTCCAGACCGTGTGTCCAGGACACAGTTCTTGGCTGTCCTCCTGACATGGCCAGCTGGAGCTGAGTCCCCTCCCACTGCCCTGTCCTGCCACCTAAGTTAGTGGAACTGGAATTGATTTGTAAGGGGCATTTGGGACCTTGCCCCTAGCTGGGCACGTGGCTGGCTCAGAGGCAGGCCTGGGGGCGGGCAGAAAAGCAGGAGAGCCCAGATTAAGGCTGGGACTGGGTAGATCACGAAGTGGGGAAACCGGTTTGACATCTGGGCCACTTGGGGTGGGGTCTCTTCTCCTGGGCTCTGTCTGCCAGCCATTCTGCCGGGTGGACTTCAGGGAAGAGATGTGGGCACTAGGTGGCCTTTTCTTGACCATTTGAACTGCTTTTGGGAATGCCAGGAGTAAATAAAAAGGACAGAGGGCTCAGCCCACCTGCCCCTCTCGAAGCGAGGATTCTGAGAGGAGGAACTGGCCACCGAACCCGAGGGAAGGAAGGAGGGAGAAGCCTGAGCACAAAAGGTCAACCCGTGTCTGGGTCCAAGTTGGAGATGGAGAAGTCTGCGGAATCACCAGGTAGGCCCCGTAAGGAGAACCAGGGTGGGAGTACCGAGATGGCGATTTGCAGACTGCCGTGGAGGTGGCAAAGGTGTCGCCAGAAGAGGCGTGAGAAGACTGTCTGGAGCGTCCTACTTTGGGTCCACTTCAGAGGGGATCAATGTGTCCTCAGTCGCGTGCAGTACCTGCTCGTGCCTGAGGTAGGGGCGGGAAACCGAAGTAGGGGCTAGGAGGCTGTCCAGCAGGGGGCGCCGGAGAGCTGGGTCCCAGGCCTACTGGTGGCTGAGAAAGGGGGAGGGGCAGGGGTGTGGGGGCGCGACCCAGGAGAGGCACCCTGGGGCCCCTCCAGGTGTAGAACGACTGTGGCGTTCCGAGGTCACCTTGGCTGAAGAGTGGTCCCCTTTCTCTTGTCCTTTCCCCATCCTCTCGTCCTGCTTCGCCGCGCCTGGAGTGCTTTTCTGTCCCAAGGCGTGCTTGGAGACCCAAGGAGTCACCTCCCCAGATGCCTCTTTCGAGGCCACTTCGGGGTCATTTGTTTCTAGCGGTTGGAGGACCGCTTTGGGTGGGGGGATAGCAGGTGGAGTGGGGGGCGGAGCATGAGCGCGCCCCGCATCCCAGTCCGGGCAGTGTGCTGTGGGATGCCGGTGTGCTGCTGGAGGGCGCGAGGAAGCGCTGCGCCCCTTCCCTTCCCCCGCTCCCCGCCACCCCCGGCGGCCCTTTGTACCATCCGGCCATACGCGCGTGCCCGCGTCGCGCGCGCTCCCGCCCGCAGTGACACACCCGCGCCGGCCGCACGCGCGCACTCGCGAGCACACACACAGAGACACACACACTCGCTCTCGCACACTCGGTGACACGCCCGCGCGCGCGCGCACCCACACGCCCGGCCGCCGGCGCCCTCCCAAGCTGGTCCACCCCGGCGGGGCCCGCGCCCCCGGCCCGCCCGCCTGGCACCGCGCCCCGGGGCTGGGGCCGAGCGAGGAGCCCGCGAGGCGGCGAGAGGGCGAGCGCCAGGCAGGCCGGCCCGGGGCCCCCGCCCCCCGCGCCCCCGCCCGATGGGGAACGCTCCGTCCCAAGGCATGTCCCTGTCTCTCTCCTCCCTAATGTGCCTCCATGCTTAAGTGGAAGGTATTTCTGTTTTCTTTGTGTGTTTTCCCCTCGGCCGGGGGCGGGGGCGGCGGCCGGGCCCGGGAGGCGGCGGCCGGCCGGGCTAGGGATGCTCTGGGCGCAGGTGTTGCGGGGGGCAGGGGACAGCTGAGCGCCGCGCTGGGGAGGAGCAGGGCGGCAGAGCGCTGGGAACCGAGAGGGTCTGAAGCTGGCGAAGCTGAAAACGGGGCGAGGAGGGCCTCTCGGTGCCCGGGGGGAGGGGACCCGGGGTTACAATGTAGGGGGGGAGGGGTGGCTGAAGGGGGTGGCGAGGAGAGTAGGGGGGGCAGGAGGGGGTCCATGCGAGGTGAGGCCAGGGATGCTGAGGGGGGAAGGGAAGGGGATAAAGGGAAGAGCATCATCCCCGCCTCAGCTCTCAGAATGGGGTGCAGGCGCTGGGCTGGTAGTGCTGGACCCTTCGCGCCAGTCCCTCAGGGAAGCAAGGGGCTGAGAGCGCTCTGGGTTTGGCTGTGTTGCCAGGATACAAGGCTGTATTCTACACCCCACCCCCTGCACCTCGAGGCCCTAGCCCTGGAGACCTCCTAGGCTCCGCAGCAGTTGCAGAAACTGGGGACCTGCTCCCCGCTCGCTGGGCGGGTAGGGAGGGCCATAGAGAAGGAGGGACTGAGGGAGGGGCTTCTGGATCTTAAACCCTCCCCCTGCAGAGGCAAGGGGCAAAGGAGGGCGCCCCCAGCTGGGGAGGGCGTCCGGGGTGATGAGGAGGTGGGGACTGCAGGGGGTTGGAGAAGTAGAGGGGCGGGGCTGGGGAGGGGACTTGTCGTGGCTCCCCCTCCTCTCCCACGCACCCCCCTGCTACGTCAGAAGCTCCCGGGCCGGCTCCGAGTCCTGTTGGTGGGGGCAGCAGGATGCTGGTGGCAGTAGAGGGGGCCGACCGGGTGCCTCCGCAGCTCAGCTGGCAGGGCCCGGTGGGGCGTGTGTGGCTGCTGGTGCGCGCCCCCAGCCCCACGCCTCCCCATGCAGCCCTGGCAGTGCCTCCGGCGCTTTGCCCTGGCCTGGTGGGAGAGGACCGCGGAGGGTCGAGCCCGCTCTCCCAGGGAGGAGGTTGGACCAAGGGACCCTGGGGCCCGCGGGGAGCCAGGTGAGCTGGTTCAGCAGTGTGAGCAAGGCTGAACTGCCCTTACAGCCCCTCTCAAATATTGCCATAACTGGGGCTCTGCAGGCTCCAGCTTTGAGGGAAGTGGGGTCCCTGGTGGCAGCTTTTCGGCTGCAGCCCCTTAGAAGGTGTTTGGGATGAAGGTGGGAAGAGGAGAAACTGAGCAGACGTTAGGTCTAGGGATCCAACTGTTCCTTTGGGTGGGGTTTGTGCCCTTTGGGGATGGGGTATTAAGATACCTTTCTCTACTCTGGTCATCTTGGTCTGGGTGACCTTGAGCCAACTGCTTGGCTGTCTAACTCTGTGCCTCAGTTTCTCCCCTTCCCTGTCCCTGCTGATGAGCCCGATGGAGAGCTACTAGGGATGGCGAGGCTGTTGTCTCTGGTGGCAGCTGGGAGTGTTGGTTTCTAGCATAGCTGGCGTGTGTTTGTAAGTGAGGGGCAGCTGTGGTATGGATACGGGGGTCTGGTTGATGCTGGCCGGTGTGGGAGTCACTCAGGGTAAGCGTCCAAAGTACTACTCAGCCAGGAGTGCTCTTGATAGACTGAGAGTTGGAGTGGAGACTTAGCCTGGTGTTGATGCACTGTGGGTGAGGACTCTGGACGTATGGGGAAGGGGTTCCCGCTGGGCTGCCTGGTACCCAGGCACCATTGGCTGCAAAGGCTTTGCCCTGGCTCCCTGCCACTCTGCCGTGAGGACAAGAGGGTCTTTGTCCAATGCTGCCCCCCAGTCCTGCATCTTTCCTTCCTGGAGGGCTTGCTATGACCCTGGGATGGAGGCTGGGGTGGGTCTCCCTTCTGGCTCCTACTCTGGACACCTGCCTAGAAGAAACACATGTAGTCTGAGGCTGGGAGAGGGGAGAGGAGCCTCATTAGGGGAAGGGTTCCTAGAACAAGCAAGCCCTCAGAGACATGCTCCCCCCTCAGACTCTCCACCCCCCCATCCCTCTGTTCACTTTCTACTAGCATAGGAGGTCTGGGGGCTCCCTGGCCTTACTTATATAGCCTCTTAAAGGTGAGTAGTGACCATCCATGGCTCCTCTGAGTGCCCCCCCTTCCTGTCCAGGGACCCACCCAAGAAAAGGGTTTAATTAGAACCATTGATTCATTTTTGGCTGCGGGCATCGATCTGGATGGTGTGGTCAGAGCAGGGGATGGGGGAAGGGGTGGCACAGGCTGTCTGCCGAGTGCTAACCTTGGCATTCTCTGCCAAAACCCCAGCCCTGGAAGTGCTGAGCAGGAATCGGGTTGGGCTCTGTGAAGCTCCCCACCTCCACCCCAGATAGGTGTTGGGGGAAGAGGAGCAGCCCAGCCTAGGGCTGGAACTGCTGGGCACTGTGCTCAGGTGAGGGGAAGGTTGGCTCACATGAATTTGACCTCTTTCACTGAGCTGGGAGCACAGCAAGAAGCAGTGGTGGTTGACAAGGTGCTGTGCCGTCACCGTCACGGGAGTCTGAAGGAGTGGAGTGGCCTGTGAGTGTCCTGGCAGGTCAGGGTCCAGGGGAAATCCCAGGCTGGCCATAAAGGCATCTCTTTCGAGGAATTCTAAGCACTTATCTCTAAGCTCTGGCAAGGAGATGCCTTTTCCTCCTTCATTTATGTTGTTCAGGCCCGGATAGGAACAGGGCCTGCCTGGATGCCCGGCTGGCCCAGATCTGGCCTGGCTCCCTGACCTTGTGGCCCCTGCCTGGACACAAGGTGCCAAGGTTGAGGCTTCTGAATCCTTGGCTCAGCTCCCTGGAGTTGGGGGTTCTGGGGATGAGTTGTGCCCCCAGCCCACGCCTGCTGTGGGTGGGCCGGAGCAGGTGCAGCTTCAATGAAGCACTCAGGGGCTCTTTGAAGACTCCTTAGCTGGCTTCCCAGGGCCCATTTGAGCAAAGATAATAAAAATCTGGCCGTCAGCGGGTTTGAGGGCTGCGCTCGCTTCCCCTTCTTTCATTCCCAGCTCTGAAAAGAGGAGATGAAGGCTTTGGATTTGGCTGGGAAGCAGCTCCTGCCCCAAGGGAGAGAGAGAGGCAGGAGCGAGAGAGGGAGGGAGGCAGAGAGGGCCGACTTCTTGGCAGCCAGTGATGGGCAGAAGCTTGGTCCCCAAGCCCTGCTGACAGTGTGGCACCTCAGTGGCAGGACTCCATACGCTGTGCCCCGACTCTATGTGGTCCTCTAGGTCCCTGGGACCCCACAGCATCCCTCTCTGCCCTCCTGTTTCCAAAGTCCCCTCTTTGCACCTCTGCCGGTCTCCTGCCTCACTCCCACCTCCCACCTCCCTGCCTCTCCTCCAGCCTGCCCGCGGCCCGCCCCGTGTCCCCTCTCCTTCAGAGGTCCCCTTGCTCTCTCTGGTGGCCCCTCCCCTCTGTCTGTCTGCTCTGCCCTAGCAGCAATCCTGCTTTCTAGGACTGAGTGGAAGGTTGCTGCTGAGGGAGCAGTCCCTGAACAGCCATAGCCGCAGCCTCCCTCGGCAGGGATGGGCCAGCTGACTATTATGGGCTGTCAGGTGCCATCACTGTCAGAGTGCAGGCTGGAGGGGCTGCTGTGCATTTAAGAGCACACTCAAGCCTGCTTGTTGTGGTGTGTGTGTGTGTGTGTGTGTGTGTGTGTGTGTGTGTGTGTGGTAGCTCTTCCCACACCACCTCACCTTGACAGTGGGCTCCTCATACCCCTGCCTCACACACTTCAGGAACCTTCTGGCACTCACCTCCCCACCTCCCCAACAGATTTTTTCCCCCAGCCCTTCTGGTCCCCGGTCCCTGTTCCTTAAGGGT